GTTGACATCTCCTATATCTCATGGGGGGATTATTTCTCTGGCAGTAAAAAGCAGCCTTCTATTTGCCTGGGGGCCATCCACTAATGGTGCTCCCTGGCACCAGGAGAATTATGTAGTGGATCACACTCTGGAAAGAGAAGATACTCTGCCTATCTCATTCTAGATTATCTAGTTTAATACAATGAATGGCATCACAGTGGCTCAGTAATCAATTAATGTACATGTGGGTGAGCAGCCAGCAATGTAATTTCTATCACAAATTACAAGGCCCTGGGATTTCATTTGAAATCATCTAACTTCTCATCACGTCAGTTTTATCACACATGTAGTGATAGGAACAACCAAGCTCATAGAATTCTAGAATGACAGAGCTGAGAAAGGTTCTTAAAGCCATCTGCCAGAGGTAGAATCAGCCTTAAAACACAGAAAGGTAGAGCGAGAAAAGATCTTACTGGTTACCTAATTCAATACTGCCCTCATTTACAGATGACAACCTGGAGATAGGTCAAGTGTAGTGACTTCCCCAACAAGTTAGTAGCAGAGTCAGGATTACAATCCGTGGCTTCAGACTTCCAGCTGAGTGTGTGTGTGTGTGTGTGTGTGTGTGTGTGTGTGTGTGTGTGTTTCTCACCCCATCACACTATCTTCATAGATAAAGTATTTCTACAATCCCCAGAAGTTCTCAGGATTAACTCACCTAATAGGTTAGGTTAACTAATTCCTTAATTATTATTTTTATTAATACTTAATAATACAATTATATATTATTTTATATTGTGTTATTATATTATACTATATTATTATACTATAATATTATTATTTTGTATGCTCTATGGAACAAAATGGACAATACTTAATAACCTTGCGTTAATGGAACAGTCCTTGTTTTTTGGTTTTGTGGAGGGGGTGCGTGCATATGGAAGTTGGGTTTTTGTTTTTGGAAACCAGATCAGGGGAATGAGCAGGTGGTAGAGAGAATTACCAGTCATGGGGGATATGATGATAGTAAAGCAAGAGAGGATTCCTGGAGAAGAGAGGGTTTGAAATGAATGTTTAATAGAGCCCATTTTGACAAAGCTAGTTAATAAATTTTAGAGGAAGTCTAGTCCCTGACTTCATAGAGTTTATAGTAAGTAGGTGAAAAAGATACAAACCTATTCAATATTCAATATTATATATTATATAAGTAGATTGAAGAGTTGCTAACAGTGGGTAGTCTTAGAGAAAACTGTACCAGGAATATTCTAGAGGGCTCGATGAAGAAGAAGGTAAGCTCTGAGTAGGGCCTTAATGCATGGGAATAAATTCAATAGGTACAATGAGAGAGCATGGGCATTCTAGGCACAGGTAACAACTTGACCAAAGGCATGAGGGTGGAAAGCATGTTTACATTTTTTTAAAAAATCAACATCAAGCACATTTTTGGCTTAGAAGAAGTTCACATGGAAAAATTTGGGGGTTTTCCTTAACAGCAACCTCAGTATGCATCAACAGCATGATATAGCCTCAGGGAAAAATAAAACTAATATCATTTTAATTTGCATTAAGAAAAAGCATAATGTCCAGAGTGGACACCGAAGTATTCATGGCATAGCAGATAGGGAACTGACCTCGGAGTCAGGAAGACCTGAGTTCAGGTGCTAACTCTGATCTCTATAGGGACACACACACATCTGTATCATGATGAATATATCAATGAAATCATAAATCTAGTACCTATTGTGTCCCTATCCTACTGTCTAGAACAAGGGGAGTATTAGATACCCCATGCAGAGGACAGAAACCTAATGAGATCACTTCTGCTCTATAGTGTCCCATTTTAGGAAGGACAGAGTGTGTCCAAAGAAGGGCAATGACGATGGTGAAGGCACTTGAAACTCTCTTGTATGAATATAGAATCAAGCTCATTGAGAGTAGCAGCTAGGGTGGTGTAGTGGATAGAGTGCTGGGCCTGGAGTCAGGAATGCCAGAGTTCAAATCAGGCTTCAGATACTTACTAGCTGTGTGACCCTGGGCAAGTCACTTAACCTTGTTTGCCTCAGTTTACTCATCCGTAAAGTGAACTGGAAATGGCAAACCACTTCAGTATCTTTCCCAAGAAAACTCCAAATGGAGTCACAAAGAGTGTGACAGAAGTGAACAACAACTCTTTGAGAGTAAGGATTATTTAATTCTTTTCCTTTGTATCCCATACCTACCATAGTGCCTGGAACATGAGATACTTAATAAATTCATGCTAATTATAGATCATTTGAAGGCACTGTGTACAGTTCAGTGTGCCGAAGACTAAAGAGAAATATATCCTTTGAATATTTAAAGAGCTCTTGTATGGAACAAGAATAGATTTGATTTTTGTTTTTCTGAAAATTGGGACTAGAAAAATGGGTAAACATTACAAGGAGGCAGATTTTGAATCACAGGGTAGAACTTCCTTGCAGTAAGAGCTGTCCAACAATAGAACTGGCTCTTTCACAAATTAGCAAGTTTTTTGTCACTAAAAATATCCAAGCATAAGCCAAACATCAGTGACATCTCAGGAGTGATTCCTGTATTGGGTGAAAGGTGGCATTACCTGGCCTGGCTTCAAAGAACCCTAAGAGTTGGAAGGAAAATTAAAGATTATTTAGCCCAAGCTCTTTATTCTAGAGATAAACAACCTGGCAATCAGCCCAGGCCACATAGTTAGAGAAAACTGAGGACTTGAACCCAGATGTAGTGAATTCAAATATTCTTTCCAGTGTACCTACAAGGAGCTTTTCAAATCTGAAACTGATTCTTGGATCCAGAAGAGCATTGGTTCAAATCCCATTTCTAACACTTAAGAGTTTTGTAACCATGGGAAATGTTATAACTCCTTTGAGATTCAGTTCCCTCATCTAAAAAATAAGAATAGAGTAGAGGATTGTTTTCTTGGGCTGCTAGGTGGTACAGTAGATAGAGTGCTAGCCCTGGAGTCAGGACGACCTGTGTTCAACCAGCCTCAGACACTTACTAGATGAGTGACCCTGGGCAAATCATTTAATCCTGTTTGCCTCAGTTTCCTCATCTGTATGTAAATGAGATGAAGAAGGAAATGGCAAACCGTCCCATTATCTTTGCCAAGAAAACCCCAGATGGGGTCGTGAAAACTTGCATAAGATTGAAACAACTCAACAACAGAGAATTGTTTTAAGTTTGATAAATTCATATTGGATAGTGGAGTGATTTTTGTGGGTACACCTTTTTGGGGCTTTCTTAGAAAACATACTAGAGTGGTTTACCATTTCCTTCTCTAGGTTATTTTACAGATGAGGAAACAGAGGCAAACAGGGTTAAGTAACTTGCCCAGGATCACAGTTAGTAAGTGTCTGAGGCTGGATTTGAACTCATAAAGATCAGTCTTCCTAACTCCAGGCCCAGTATTCTTTCCACTGTGCCACTTAGCTGCCCTAAATTAATCATAAGTTTCATTCAATGGTGAGATTTTTTACCTATTTTTCCAGAATATCTTAATCACTAGTATGAATGCTTTATCTATCTAACATCCATATTTACCACTTAAAGAAACCATGTTGATGCATGCCATCTATAATTATGCTCTGCATGTGCTGATGAACATATATTTATTTGGTCCTTAAAATATTTGCTAGTTGAAATATGGATGATAATCTTCTTTATCATGGGTTATAGCATGGTATGGAAGAGAGGACCTCTGAATTTGGAGTAAGATCTGGGGCTTGAGTTCAAATCCAGCTCTCCCACATCATACCAGTTTGTCCACCTTTGGCAAGTCACGTAATTTCTCTGGTCTTTACTTTTCTCATCTGTAAGTGAAGGGGTTAGATGACCTAACATTGATATATTCATATCCATAAAATGGACCTAAGAGGTCCTTTCCATTCCCAAATCAATGATCCTGCTTTCCTTTTTGAATGAGTGATCATTATAAACTTTAAATTTTGATGTTATAGTAATTGTTTGATATCATATTTATAATGAGAGGATTCCAATATGGAGTCACTTAGACTAAGTGGTCCTAACACCTATAGAAATATATGGGCAAAATAGACATTTTGTACTTTTCCATTGTTAACTCTCTATTAGGCTGATGATGCTTGCAGCTTTTTGATTGGATGAACTCTTGACCTGCCTACAAGGCCATTCTCCCTCTGCTTTAGTTAATGTTGGACCCTCCTACCGGTTATGAGTAGGTTTCCTCCCCAACACATCTCCTTCATCCTCAGACTGGGGAGAGTTTCTTTTGTGTGGGGATAAATCTCTGTCTGTTTATATTGCCATAGTGTATGTGTTTTCTTTGTTTGCCTGCTTGCTGCACCCCATAACAATAAAGCTTATATTTCTAGAAATTCCAAATCCAGGTATTTGCTTTAACCTAACCCTTGAGAGGCCAAATAAAGCATATTGTCACTTAGGAGGCAGTGAATACTACAAGATAACAGAAAGTGAGAGTTGATAGGGACCTCAGAGACGAACTGATCCCCTAAATTCTACAGACAAGGAACCTGTCCCCAAAGATGCCTGTGGGATGTTTAAGGCCATATAGCTGGACACTGGCAGGGCACAGATTCCAATCCAAGTCTCCTATCTTTCAGTCCTGGCCACATTCCACTGAACCTAATTCCCAAATGCATTTGTCACAATCAAACTTCAGGCAAGTTTTTAATAGCTATTACTCTATTTGATGATGTCCTAGGCAGGATCCACAGTACATCAGGGAGTAGTGGGAATTTTGTTTGGATGGCAATGAAATTTGTGATGAACATGCCAAGGCACTGTTTAAACATTCCAGATGTAAATGTTATTTAAAGGAAGCAGGAATTCAGAGCGTTCCATCCAAGCATCCCCTTCTCACTAAAACACGAAGACCTAGTTCTTGTCATAAGAGGATCCTACGTATGTTGTGAATATTTGCCCAAGATTGACATTTGAGTGTTGATGCTGGAGGAATGGCAATGAGTGGGGGCTTGTATTAATTCAGCATCTTGACTGGTCCATTTCAGGTGGAATCCCATTCATCTTGACCGGAGAGTTTTTCCAGCAGTCTGAGCGGCCAGCTGCCTTCATGATCGCAGGGACAGTCAACTGGCTCTCCAATTTTATAGTGGGACTCCTTTTCCCATACATTGTGGTATGTTCTATGGTGGTAGCTATTTTCCTTCCACTTTTTTCCTAAGGCTGTCTGCACCTCTAAGAAAAGGGGGTGAGGAACTAACAACCAGAGGAAAATGATGACCTTCTATATAATGATGAAATCGGTTGGAGAAAGGTAATCAATCTTTCTAAATCGCTCATCTGATAATAAAAGGGGAGTGATTTGTACTTAAGGTTAAATACAGAGAGAAAATCCCTACTTAATATGTTATAGTGGAAAGAGAACTGGCTCTGGAATTAGAGGTTCAGGGTTCGAATCCCACCCCTGATGATTGTTACTCATAGGACGCTGAGTAAGTCACAACCTCCCTGGGCTTCAATTTCCTCGTCGATAAAATGAGACTAGAAGGCTTCTGGGGTTCTTTCCAATTCCAGATCTATGATTCTGTTTTTCACTCCCCATTTTGGTATTGGAAAGAACCTTTATCTCTCTGGGCCTCAGTTTTCTTATCTCTAAAATGAAAGGCTCAAATTATGTTGAGCCCCCTTCAGTCTCTTAACATTCTAGCCTGTGCTAAGGTTCCTTCCACGTAAAAGCTTTCTCTCCTTCCTCCATTTTTTCTGCAACCCTACACCTGAATATCGACCCTGTATTATTATGTGAATGTCTGTGTGCTTCCCTCCCAAAAAGATGGATTATAAACTTTGAGGAAAGGGACTGTATTTTTTTCATTTTCTTATTATCGGTGCTTAGTATAGGGTTATTGAATGAGTGATTGATAAAGCATTAAGACTTATCATATGTCACGGGTGTGTGCTGAGCGGTAGAAAGTCAAAGGCAAGAAAGCAAAATATTTCTTTCCTCAAAGACAATATATTCCAATGGTCAAAGACTACACATAAAGAAGAGCTAAAAAGAACAATGGCATGGTTTGGAAATAACCTAGAAGTGATGTGGAGGCTTGGTTCCAGACAAAAGGAAGTGAAAGCTCCCTTATCATAATCCAGCATCCCAAGACGGAGTCCAAAATTCCAATGGGAGGGGAATGAGGATGATGAAGACAATGGCCATAGTGCAGGCTGTGTGGTTTGCAGACAGCCATGTCAGTAGCAGCCCCTTAATAAATTTTAGCTGAATGAAGTTGAATTCCAATTCTAGCAGTCTACATTTTAAGCCCCTGCCAGCATTGACATTCTCTGCTTTTAAATTAATTTCTTTTAGCTGCTTCAAATGGGCCTATCACTGACACACATATAATCTAGTCACATGCCTTGGAATGTGGAATTAAGTAGTCACAAACTTCATTTAATATTTTTCTGGAGTCAAACAAACTCCCTTAGCTGAATTCACAAAATGGTACATTGTCTTTTCAGTCAAATTTAAACTTTAAATGACTTTTTCAGGCTCAAAAATTTTATACAAACTTAATACAACAAGTCAGTAAAATATTCATAATGCTTAGGGAGACCTACAGGCTGAGATGTCAAATCTTCCCTAAGAATTAAGTTGCATGTCAATCCATTCTTCTCCACATTCTTCAGTTGCTGTATATAACAACAGCACCAGCTTTAAGATGAGGCCAAACTGAGAAAGTCTTTTGTTTCCTCATCTGGCACTTGAATGCTAGGGGTAGACCCCTAAATGACTGCTTAGGTTTCCTTCCACTCCAACATTTTGGGTTCCTCTATGGTTTTAACAGTGTCTTTGCAGTATGTTTCACCAGAGGGTTGGCAATGAGATGTATTATATTGGGAAGAGCTATGTGCTCCTGGAAACGATCCCGGAGACCTGGGTTTGAGGTCCAGCTCAGTTAGCTGTGTGACTTTGGACAAGTCATTTAACCTCTTAGGTCTCGGTTTTCTTTATCTATAAAATGGCCCCTTTGCACCAAATGGTGATCCCTTCCAGCTCTAAAATTCTCTGCATTAAAGTAGTCTATCAGGCAATTTTAAAAAATATAACCTTAAATCATACCATATTTTAAAGACATCTACCTCAGTTACAAATGATATTTTTGAAAACACACACAACTGTAACTGATTCTAGGGGAGTAATGAAGCGAAATTATCCCCATGGTTTCTATTTCACTAGTAGTAATGATGTTATGTCACTTCTCGGTGGGCATAAATCATTCTCAAGTTACCGTCACATATCTTCCCTTTCTCCCAAAATGATAGCTATATGTATGGAAAGAGGAAGGACGTAGGCAGTTGGGTAGCATAGTGGACAGAACATTTGATTTGGAGTCAAAAAGACTTGAGTTCAAACCCTCCCTGAGACATCTACTATCAGTGTGACCCTGAGGGCAAGCCACTTAACTTCTCTATTCCTCAGTTCCTTTATCTGAAAGTGAAGATAATAACAGTACCTATCTCACAAGGTGGGGCAGCTAGGTGGCACAGTGGATAGAGTGCCAGGACTGTTTTTCAGGAAGACTCGTCTTCCTGAGTTCACATCTGGCCTCAGACACTTAATAGCTGTGTGACCCTGGACATGTCACTTAACACTATTTGCCTCAGTTCCCTCATCTGTAAAATGAGCTGGAGGAGGATATGGCAAACCACTCCAGTATCTTTGCCAGAAAAACCCTGGCAAAAGGGGTCAGGAAGAGTCAGACACAATCTCACAAAGTTGTTGTAAGAATCAAAAGAAGTGATATCAATAAAGTCCTTGGCAAACCTTAAAGTGCTACAGAAATGTTAGCTGTAACTATAAGTAGGTATAGTTATGAGTATGAGTAGGTATGAGCAGAACATCTCTCTCCTTAAATTTTCCTTTTATGGATTTTTCCTCTGCCCTTACAGTTTCTTTCCATGTATTTATAACAATGTCATATTTATAAGTAAAACTATTACTTGGAGGTAGATGGGAGGATGAAAAGAAAGCAGAAATAATGAATTCATTTTTTTTTCTGTTTGTACTCTCAAGGAGAATGTTGTTCAAGTTGGAAAATATAGACCAAAAATGGTTATTAGGCGGTTGAAATCCAATATAGTATTAATAATACTCATATTTCTATAGTGATTTAAATTTTACAAAGGACCTTCTACCCAATGACCTTGAGAGGTAGGTAGTACACTTATTATTATCCCCCTTTTACAGATAAAGGATTGAGGCTCTAAAAGTTTAAGTGATTGGTCTAAGATAAATGAGGAGATGAAATGAGAGTGCTTAGCTGTCCTTTGAGATCCAGTCACCAAACCCTCACAAATTATGTTCCAGTGTTCTTTAAAAGAAAAAAAAACTGATGATTGTCATTTTTTCATTGATCTTTGAATAAAAAAAATGGGTGGTAACAAGATTAGTAAATATCTTGATTTCCCAAATAGAGGAAAAGGTAGATGCTCCAAACTTTGGCTATGGGGTTAATTAGCTCTAATACCTGTCAAAATTCTAGAAATTATAATAATTGCTTGAATTCAAATAACTTTTTTGAAAGTTTGTAAAATACTTTCTACATATGAACTCATTTGATTGTCACAACTAGCCTCTTGGGTAGGTACAATAGTTATTATTATCTCCATTTTGTAGATGAAAAAAATGAAACTAGGGAATGTCAACAGATTTGCTGATGGTCATAGCAGTAAATGTCAGAAGCAGGATTTTCTGACTGTAGAAAATAAGTTCTTAACATGGGTCCATGAACTGATAGAGAGAGAGAGAGAGAGAGAGAGAGATAGTTCAATATAATTGATTTTCTTTGAAATCACATGTATTTTATTTTGTGCATTTAAAAATACTTTGAGAAGGGGTCCATAAGTTTCACTATATTGCGAAATAGGTCTCTAGCATAAAAAAGTTAAATCTCTACTCTAAAAGTTTGGAATAAATTTAGTGTGATAAAAGTTTATCAGGAATAAATGTAAAGTCCTATTCATAGGTTCAAAAAATCAATTGTGCATATCTATAGGATAGCAGAAATGTGGCAAAACAATAATGAAAATGAAAAAAAATCTGAGGGCTTTAGTAGGCTAGAAGCTCAGTTTAAATTAACAAGGTGATATGATACTGAAAATAACTAAGGCATAACAATCAGTATAATCTCTAGAAGCAGGGAGATTATGATTCTTCTGTACAATCATGGACCTGGTACAGGCATAACTCAGAGATATTGTGAGTTCAATTCCAGACCACCTCAATAAAATAAATATCACAATAAAGCAAGTCACATGAATTTTTTGCTTTCCCAGTGCATATAAGTTATTTCTACTATACTGTAGTCAATTAAGTATGTAATAGTATCATATCTAAAAAACAATGTGCACACCTTGATTAAAAATGCTTCATTGCTAAAAACAAAATGCTAATCATCATCTGAGCCTTAAGCAAGTCCTAATCTTTTTGCTGGTGGAGGGTCTTGCCTTGATGGCTGCTGACTGATTAGGGTGTTGGTTGCTGAAGGTTGGGGTGGCTGTGGCAATTTCTTAAAATAAGACAATGAAGTTTGTCCCGTGGATTGACTCTTCCTTTCACTTGAACACTTGGATGCTATTGTAGGGTTTTTAATTGGTCTAATTTCAATATTGTTTCATTTTGGGGAATAGGAAGACCTGAGGAGAGGAAAAAAGATGGGGAATGGCTGGTTGGTGGAGCAGTCAGAACACACACAATATTTATGGATTAAGTTCATCATCTTACGGCTCAAGGTGCCCCAAAATAATTACAATAATAACATCGAAGATCACCATAGTGGATATAATAATAGTGAAAAAGTTTGAAACATTGCAAGAATTACCAAAATGTGACACAGAGACATGATGTGAGCACATGCCATTGGAAAAAATTGCGCTGATAGACTTGCTCAATGCAGGGTTGCCACAAACCTTCAGTTTGTTAAAAAAAAAAAAACAAACCCACAGTATCTGTGAAGCACAATAAAACAAAGCACAATAAAATGAGGCATGCCTGTATCTGGAATGTCTTCTTTTGAGAGAACATTGACCAGTTTGGAGCATGTCGAGTCATGGGCGGCAATATAAATGTGCTAAAAGCCACTCCACCCCATGTTTAGTTGAAGAAACATGGGATGTTTAACC